TTTATTTCAGTCTTATTATATGTCAGATACTGTGCTAAGTGTTTTTACAAGATTCCTATTATGTAATCCTTACGAAAATCTTATCAAGCAGGTGCTATTACAGATGAATAAACTGGAAACTGAATTTTACAAATGCTAAGGAACTTGCAGAAAGTCATGTTGTTACTGAAAGAACATGTAAATCCTTAACACACATGTGGGAACCCCCTGCTGTAAACGAGGGGTCTGTGGAACTTTTTCTGTAAAGGACCAGATAGGAACTATTTTAGGTTTTGTAGGCCACATTGTCTCTGCAACAACTAACCAACTGTTCACAATATACTGTAAAAGCAGCCAAAGATAATACGTAAAAAGATAGGTATGCCTATGTTTCAATAAAACTTTATTTACAAAAACAAGTGACTGACCAAATTTTTCAGGACTGGTCAGACTTGGACCATAGGCTGCAGTGTGTAAATCTCTAACACATGATACTGTATAGCTTGATTTAAAATTATTTCCATGTATGACTAAATTTTATTTCAGAATATAGGGAAATTAAATGGAAGATTTTTTGAGGTATTCACCCCAATATATAACTTCACCAAAAAGAATCAATTTCCACTGGATCATTTTTCTTCAAAATGGGTTAAATTGCAAAACCTTTTCACGATAAATCTTACATAGTTTATCATAACAAAACACTCTTCTATATTTAGCCTCTTTTCTGCCAAGGAGTTCAATCTCTGTTAAAACATCATCTCATTAATCCTGCCTACGATCCTGTGAGGGAGGGAGATGACAAGTATTAAGAAATGTTCAGAGTCTTTTAGATTCAATTCAAATCTTGAAAGAAGCTGAGTGACAAGTGCTTGCTGCCCTCACAGTTACCCAGTATCCTTAAAATATGAACTTTGACTCTTTCAAAGGCATGCCAGGTACTTCTGGGAAAAGGATCCAGCATTAGGAAATCCATTTACCTATACTGTCCTTATTTGGGGCTATATCTCCCACAAGGATTTGGTTTCCATAGAATTTTCGTCACTTCTTGTGTTACCAAGATGCTCTGCCCTACAAACCAGCTGTTCTCATTCTTCTGACTAGTGATTGTATTTCAGTAGTGGAAAAAGTAACCACAAAAGTAAAATATTTGGGGTATTTATTTCATAACTATCTATCATTCATCTACATTCATTATATATATTTGTTGTATATATTTACCACTGCATAGTAGTAATGTAGTATCTGGTAGTAATTTATGTATAAAATAAGGCAAGAAGTTTTATCCTTTAGGTCATAAGTGCTAATCATCATAATATAAGATTAAAAGATGTTCAAATTAAAACATAATCTTCCTCAATTCCTATTTCATCAGGCCATGCCCCTGTGCCACCATTTATAAGGGATTCATACTATCCTTATCAAATCCAGCTATGTTGACCTATCCTTTGAACCTTGAAGCAACTCAGACCTGTACCACTAACTCCATTTCTCAGACTCCCTGCTTTATGTCTCTATACAGTTTAAGCAAACTGTCTAATACCTCTATCGATTATTCTTGTGTTCATGGAAATACATGTCTGATCATGTAACTCTTTCTATCAAGAATTCCTGTCTCATTTTTTCCCACTATTTTATGTTCCTCCATTTATTAAGAATACTGCTTCAAGCTCCTTTTCTTTAGGAAGTCGTTCATGATCAAAGCAACTCAAGGGAGGGATCCATTTATTTTAAAAACAGTTGTGGATGGGGGCACCTGGGTGGCGCAGTCGGTTGGGCGTCCGACTTCAGCCAGGTCACGATCTCGCGGTCCGTGAGTTCGAGCCCCGCGTCAGGCTCTAGGCTGATGGCTCAGAGCCTGGAGCCTGTTTCTGATTCTGTGTCTCCCTCTCTCTCTGCTCCTCCCCCGTTCATGCTCTGTCTCTCTCTGTCCCAAAAATAAATAAACGTTGAAAAAAAAATTAAAAAAAAAATAAAAACAGTTGTGGATGGGGCACCTGGGTGTCTCAGTCAGTTAAGTGTCCAACTCTTGATTTCGGCTCAGGTCATGGTCTCGGGGTAGTGAGATCAAGCCCTGCATCAGGCTCTGTGTTGAGCATGGAGCCTTCTTGGGATTGTCTCTCTTGCTTGCTTGCTCTTGCTGTCTCTCTCTCTGTCTTTGCTTCTCTCTCTCTCTCTCTCTCTCTCTCTCAAATAAATAAATAAATAAACATTTTAAAAATAAATAAATATAATAGTTATGGAATGCCCGTTATATACAGCGCAATGCCAGAGACTGAGGCTTATTTTGACAAATTATTACCTCCCTAAAGGAGTATAAAGTATAAATATCACTATGTTGTGTGCTCAAAACTAACATTATGTGTCACTATGCTTTATTAAATCATAAATAAATAGATATTTTTAAAAACCCATAACTTCAAAAAAAAGTATAAATAGATAAAGGAGTATACTATATGTCTCAGGGTAGATATAACACAGTGTGCAAACACATACATGCACACACAAGAGTAACACAAAGTAGAAAATTTATATTGTTAAAAACAATGTACTATGAAAAGATGTATGAAGGAGACATCATTAAAATCTAGATTTTGATAACATTTCCAAAGATACATAGAAAGCATGCAAATAAACCTAAAAGAATTAGGAAGATTAGCTACAAAGAAGAAGACAGTGTAATTAGAAAGTTGGAAGAACCAGATAGGTATGTTTCCTAGAAGCAAGAAGAATGGTTTACTCAACATTTTTATATGTTGCATATCAATTGTTTTGAGAACTACGAGATTATTATGACTCTTAGAAAAGGAATTTTTTGTAATAGGATGTGAAGAGAACCAAGGTCCAGGGTTCCTAATGAGTATATAGCAAAGAGTAGAAGCACCCGATACAAATTACAATATTATTTTTTCCATTCTTTCAACAAATGTTATGAATGTATATGAAGTACATAGCATAATATTAGGGATGATAGGATGGTGTATAAAATGAATCATAGATGAACCCTGACTTTGAGTAACTTAATAAAAAAACATGAATGCCCAACAGTGCATCAGGGACTGAGCTAGGCATTGGGGATTCAGTGGAGAACATGGCTTTTTCTTCAATCATATATTCATTCATTCAAAAACATTACTAAGTGCTAGAAATGGAAGATACAAGATACAAAACCTGATCCTTATTTCAGTGAAGTTTACATTCTCATAACATAGCAGGCAAGATTCAACGCAACTACTGGAATTATAATACCGTGTAGAAAGTGTGATGGGGCATAATAGAAAAAACAATTTAATTTTGAAAAGAATGGTAAGTTTTAAAAATTACCTTTGGAGTTTAAAAATCATGAAAAAGAGCATGTGTATAATTATGGGAATATGAGAGAATTATTGAAGGACTTAGTTTTATTTATTTATTTTTAAGATTAAATGACCTAAGCACATTTGTAAACTCTGAGAATGGATCCAGAGGACAGACCACAGATGAAAAGAATGAAAATATAAGTAAAGCAATGAATTCCTTAATCTACATTATCTAACACTGATATGATCAGCTTTGAATGTATATGTTTATAGTTAAAGTAATTAATAAAATATGGTTCTATTGGTATAGTAGTGAAAAGATACATTTTAGACTTACTTATTATGCTTTGATAGCTTTCTACCACATTTTATATACCAAATTTGGATGTTTAATATTTTTAATGAGTGGGAATTTTGAGCCATCACATGGGGGCACTGTCTCCCAGACAACAGTCTAGTGTCAATAGTGTCACCATTTTCATCTTTACAACAGTGCTTATGTAATTATTTGAAAAATTTATACAGTTTATTCTTTTATAAATATGAATTTATAAGGGATAACTCAAAGTAATGATGTGAGTATAAAGAGTAATTCTTACAAATTTAATAAAATTGATTTACACAGATAGAAATCAGACAGAACAATTAGCTTCAATTAGAAACTCTCCAAAATTAGGTTCATTAATTGAATATTAAATTATAAGGAATAAGGACATTTTAAAACATCTACAAAATATTTGAAGTAGATGATTGGTTTATATTTAAAAGGCAGGTGCTTGGGGAACTTTCTAATAACTTTTTATCTTTTAGGGTAGAGTCTTACCTCTACATGTAAATTTTCTCCTTTATATATTGAATATTTGTAAATGTGTTCAAAATGTATTTTGTGTCAACTGAAAGGATTGCTCTTATTGTATATTAATTGCTGTTTCCAAAACTAATAGTCCAAGGAATGCTATTCCTTCAGGTTGCAAATAAGTGTACCATAAAATTGTTCTATATTCAGTTAAGTTCAGAGACTGTGGGTTATTTTGAGTTAAAAGGGATTTTTAGTACAAGACTGCTCAGGACTTTTGCTATGCAAATGTTCATTTTTGTTCTCCAAGAAGAGGGTATGATAAACAATTTTCCTCAAATTAATTTGACCACAGAGTCATTTTTTTCACAAAGCACCTATTAACATCCACCAGACCTAATGTTCTGCAAAACGTGGCTGAGAAAGTGCTCTGTAGTCAACAGAAAACAAACTCTTAAGATTTAGAGATGGAGGTGAACCTAGAGGCCATCCTTTATAACTTCCATGCAGAAAATTATTTCAATAGCATCTCTGACAAATGGTCTTCCAGATTTGGTGTTAAGGCTCTATTTCATGGTACCACATTCTATGTCAATCCTATCTATTCTTAATAAGTTCTTCCATTTATTAAACCCACATATGACTCATTGGTCCTCACTCTGTTTGCTCTTTCTTCTACATGACAATTCTTCAAATATTTGAAGACAGTTTACATGTCCCCTACTAGATCTTTTCTTCTAGGTAAGAAAACTTCGTTCTTACAAATTTACAACATATAAAGGAGTTATTAGATTCCCTCATTATATCAACTGTCTTTTCGGGTGTGTACTACAGTTGGACAAGTAAACATGATTGTTCAACTTTTCCCACTTAAGTTTCGCCAGTAATTTTGTTAATTCTTATCTGATCCATGTTATTTTTTATAGAAGCATATTGTTGGCTGCTGTCAAGTCGACTTATGGTTAAGGAAATTACAACTATAGCCAAACAAGATTTCTCTGTCTAAACTTACACAGTTAACTATTTGCAGTTAAGTTTTGTGAGTACTCCTTTCTCATTGTAATCAAGAGAATCCTATATTCTAGTTGCCTTAAAGTACAACTTTCTATCCCTTTGCCATGATCAAATTATTCATGAACTGCAAAAAGACAGGCATATATTTCTATATCTAAAACAGCTGATTCTTGGTGACAGATAGTTGTTCACCAACTTTATACTTGTAAAACAAAACAAAATACATATATGCATAGATATATGTATTTTTGTGTATATATGTATACATATGTATATTTTGTACTTTAAAAAAGAAGTGAAGAAATAAATAAGCAAGGAGATTCCTATAGTGAAAACTTAACTTCTAAAATTTAATTTGGTTTTCTCTTTCCCTCTTGCCCCCACCTAAAAATAAGAAGTCTGATTTTTAATTCAGTATAGGAGAACAATAGTCAGAGTTACTGATGGAAGCACTAGAGTGTTATCTTATTTCTAAGACTGAAGGGGAAACAAAACAGAACAAAACAAAAACAACATTTACTTTGGATAAGGGCCAACATATTTGCAAAAGCTACAAAGTTTTGCTCAGCAATGAATGAATCACTGAATAATTATTTCTTGTATGTCCTTATAAATCCTCCTTTTGGAAAAAAAAGAGAGAGAGAGAGAAAAGAGTTAATGAGATTGTGGTGTTTCAGGAGTAGTGCAAAAACAATGTAGGTAAACGTGTGGAGAAATTAGTTCTGAAGTGTAGGATAATTGTAGAGGGCCCTGGGCAAAAAACAAAACATAGATGTGCAGGAGTCATAGCACATCTTGTCTTCACTTGTCTTTGTTAGTGCAAGTGAAAAGGTTAATGCCGTTCAGTTCCATCAACACAGAGTGAGGAACTGTGGCACCTTTGAATTCTAAAGTTACCCACAGTGCAACTGATTTAATTCCTGTGAGAATGGTACTATTTACAAGTTTGCTCAGGAATATGAATGCCAATTAACCATGTGCTCCTGTTCCTGTACAATCTCTCTCTCTCCCTCTCTCTCTCTCTCAAAAAAAAAATTTTGTTACAGAGAAATTGTTTTGAAAATCATTATTACATGGGAAGATTCACTGTTATTTGAAGTTAACCCTTGATTGAAAGAAAAATTCTCAAATGCATGCTGGCCCAAAGCATTAAATCTTCTCTAGGCTCAAGATCATCAAATAGTACATTATCACCCATCTTTAAAATCTAAAATTTCGGATAATCTGACATTTTTGGGTTTCTGCCCCAATATATTGTGGCTAATGATTGCATTTCTAGCTTTCAATATTCAGATACAACTTGCCACTTTTAAATATCAAAATACCAATATGTTTATGCATGTGCAATGCTACTCTAGACATTCAGCCACCAGGCAACAGCTTTATTCATCCTTCTTGTTTCAGCTTCATCTCCCTACGCCCTTCCCCTTTGTTGAACATCAGCCACTCCATTTTCAAAACACCTCCCCACATACACTCCCAGTCCATTGTTACTCTTTAGTTCCTCCTACTACCATCCTCCTCATCCTCATTTTGCTTCTCTTCTCACATTCAATTAAAGCCTGAGTGCTGATTTGGGGAGAAAAGTCCCTGACGCACAGAGGGATGAAGGGAGGAACCACACCAGGAATTAGATGGAGAACACAGTCATCCTCTACCTAGATTGATAGTTGTGAAATATAAACTACCACAGATCAAAGCCAGAGACAATGGACCTGAACGCTCCACTAATGATGTTCAACAAGGTTTGGACATGGCTAAAGCTGGACCTAAGCAACATCAGCATGATCACTCTGAAGGCGTCACTCAGTGGAAGGGACTGATGCAAAGGGAGCAGCATGTTCAGTATTCGCTAAAACTTTCCAGTGCAGTGATAGTATATCTTTACCACATATTCTCATAGCTTTGTATTGTTCCTTGAGGCTTTGTAATATATCACACATTTTAAGTTAGAACTTATATAAGCATTTAGTTTCATTGGTGTTTTAAATTTTATACACTTCTAAAATTCAAGTATTCACTCTGGCATTTCAGTTTTAACATCAGTACAAAGAAGAAATACCTCAGTGTTCTCATTTGCTTTGGTTTTGCACCCATTAATACTGAGAATGTGATTTGGTCTCTTTATTCACAATAAATTTCGTATTGATTTCCATTATTCTCATTATAACAGCCATCTGACTGACCACCACATTCTGGTGTCTTTTATCTTTCTTACTGATCTTTAATTCACCAAACAATGTTTTGATTCTTCTTTCCCACCTCTTTAAACAGGTCATTCTGTTTTTGTCCACTGGTTTCCTGCAATCGTCAGCCAGAATTCAAGCTTATATTGGAACATAAAGTCTACACACCCGTATTACTCTGTTTGAAGTAATGTATAACAAATGCAGCATGATTTATTAGGTCTCTTTGCGGGGAAGGGCTGTGATGCCCAGAATATAGTTTTTTTTTCTGTAGTATATGAAGACTCTTACAAAAGTAAAGTATTTACATACTAATGAAGAAAAAATAGAGACAACATCACTGGGATCTGTCTATGAGCAAGTTTTCCCTACTTTCTTCATATTAAACATGTACTTCATGTTTAATATGTAGACAGAGGCCATAGAGGTGACTGAACACATATAGCAGATCGCACACCCAGTTGGGCAATTCACCTACATACCTCACACCTCACCTTAGACCCACATTAGTGTCATTTATTCAGTGGAGTAACAAAGTCGGGTGATGCATGTCTAAACTAGGAAATAACAAACATGGCTAAGATCATTGTTAAGGTAATGGGGATTATCTTTCCTATTATCAATGACATAAATGAAGTGAATGGACATTTAAAGACTGATATCACCCCAAGAATTCTCAGTATCACTGACTACCTACTTGCTTAATGCTAATTATATGTCATTTTGATTTTTCTGTTAATTGAATTTCTTTCTAAAATAAAAAAAATATATAGGGGTTTGTTTAATGTAACAGATATTTTCTTGAATGACAAGGGAGAAAACATGTCCTAGAAAGGCAGTATTCCAAATGACTTAGGGTATTTACACAAGAATGCCATTATATAACTTAGCTTAGATGTACTCTTCAACAAAGGTCTTATAATTTTTTTTTTCTGAGTGAATTAATCAACTGTAGCACTAAGATTGCAACCTGGAGGAAATCTCAACAGAACATTTTATAGTAGACATATGTATGTGTACTTGTGGATGAGAAAGAGAAAAGGCTTGAGAGAGATATTAAGTGTCATTAGTGTGTTATTTGCTTTTGGAAACAAGGCAGAAAGATGAAGACTAGCGGATGCACTTTTCAGGCCCTGGGGTAACAGCCTCTACCTCTTGTCCACCTTCAATGGTGACCTCACCAGAATCATCTTGATACTCGATCCCTTTTTCTTGAACCCTGCTGGTTCATGGTGTCTTTAAACTTCCTCCCAGCTCTCTGGACTATAGATGATGCAATTAAAAACAACAACAAAATTTATGTGAAAGGGAGGATTGAAGTAGGATGGGGAAAACACTAGAGGAGCAGGGACTGTGGGGAGGTCACTTTGTCACACTTTCTCTGTAATTTTCAAATGTAATCTGTTTGCCCTATAATTTGAGAAGGCGGAAAATCCCCACTAGGGTTACAATGTGTACTTTCTAACAAGAACTCCGATTCAAGTGTTATTGAGAAATTTTGAAAGCCTCTTGCTACTTTAACAACATAGGAAGAGATACTGACTAGGCTTTTAGGGATAGTGTCTTAGAGACTCAGGGGGGAAATCGAAGAGAAAAAATAAAATAAAATAAAGCTTGGACCTTTATTCCGATAGGGAACATTATATCATTATAAAAAGAATTTAAAAGTCACTTTGGATTCTTTCTTTCAATTGAATTATTACTATTCCAGTGAATATTGGATCCCCATTATTCACGTGTTAACACTCATTATTGTAGTTGTCAGGCAGTAAGGTTCTAGAGCCATCTTTTTGGATTGAAATACTCGCAACACTGCCCTTTAGCCATGTAGCCTGGGACCACTTACATACCTCTCCGGATCTCAGTGTTCTCATCTGTATAATGGAGATAATAATAGCTCTTACCTCTTAGGTCTATTATGAGGATTATATAAGTTAACACCTATTAAGAGCTTAGAATAGGGCCTGTCATAAAGTACTCAATAAATGTTCATTACATTTCTTCCATTCATAGATAATGAATAATTCAAAGATAATAAATATATTATCTTTCCATGAGATGGGCACAGAATACATGTTGGTACCATACTGCTATCTTCAACATACAACTCTAAGCTTCACTTAATATTTGGACAGAGAAGAATGATAGGACAGTAGGAATACTTATTTTGTAAGTATATTTTGACTGTTAAATATATAATCCTTTTCTTCTAGATTATGTCAACATTTTGAACCTTTCTTTGCAAGGTTCTAGTACATTGTTGAGGATATTGTTCCATAGAAAGTCACATTTGTATTGATTCTGAGCATATGGCCTAACTCTCATAGATAAGCGTAGTCCTTTTATCAAGTACCAAAGTTTAAGAGACTGGCATCTCAGACTTAACACCTATATGAATCCTCATTAACATAACTCAAGAAAATACAGGGAGAACAGAAGCAGATCATGCAGAGGATGTCATGGAAGGACGGAGTCACATCAATTCTGGAAGAATACAAAGGATAAAAGTTTTTTTTAAAGCTATCAGGTGTGCTTGAAGAAAGGCTGACAGACTCAGGGCAACCAGGAAGGAGAAGTAAAGATGAGCAGTGAACAAGCTTTAATAAAGAATTCTTAATCTAGGCCCTTACAATTCTAAAACATTCAATTTGCTAGCATGTGAAGTAACACAGATGTTAATTATAGATTTTAAAGACTTTGCCAGCAGCAACAATGTATAATTATTAATAGATACCTCATCCCCTGCCAAAATCTATACAGGTGGTCAAAGGACAATGTAAAACTAGGACAAACAAAAATACCGTACTCTGAACCAGTCTTTTACTTAAACCAAGCTTCTTGGGGCACCCGGGTGGCTCAGTTGGTTAAGCGTCTGACTTTAGCTCAGGTCATGATCTCACGGCTTATGGGTTCGAGCCCTGTGTCGGGCTGTGTGCTGACAGCTCAGAACCTGGAGCCTGCTTCAGATTCTGTGTCTCCCTGTCTGACCCTCCCCTGCTCGTGCTCTGTCTCTCTCTCAAAAATGACTAAACATTTAACAAAAAAAACCCAGCTTCTTGAAAGAGTAATGAATAGTCGTTGGATTTCCTTTTATATTTTCATTTACACCTCCTACTGCACTGCGACATCTGCCCCCCCTCCCCCCATTGAAACTTCTTATTCTGAGGTCACATGATTGCTTCATTGCAAAATGAAGTCAATGATCTGTTTTTCTTTTTGGTCATATTTATTAAAGTTTTCTACCACATTCAACACAGTTAATCTTGAAAACTCCATTACCTTATTTCCTTAACAGTTCTTTTTCTTGTTTTCCAACATTTCTGGCATCTTCTGACCATTTACTTTCTGGTTTCTCCATGGATTCTATGCTTCCTGATACAGAGACACACTGGTCTTCTCCCTCTACATCCTTTCCCTGAGTAATCTCATCCGCTTGGATGGCACTTCCCTTACACACTGAGGACCTCAGTTATAAACTAGGGGTCAGCAAACTATATCCTATAGGCTACATTTGGCTTGCCACTGTTTTTGTAAGTATTTTACAAAAGCCATTTCCTATAGCTGCTGTCCTGCCACAAAGGCAGATTTGAACAGTTGCAATCAAGAACATATGGCCCTCAAAACTGAAAATACTGTTTGTCCCTTTACAAACTTAAACAAGCAAACAGCCAGTATGTGATCTAGTCCTTAATGAAATTTTTAGTCTATCTAATTATGTGAAGGAAATATACACTTTGATGTACTGAAATTACCTAATCCAGATGTTTATATCTCTTCCTCTTTACTTTTTCTCTTATTGAGAAATCTAGAAGACATTCTAGACTGCACTTTCTTTCACCTCACATTACACTGATCACTGAGCTCTGATTAATACTTATCTTATTATTAATACATACTTATCTTCTATTTGTGGGAAAGCCCAGTGTCTGTACTGGGGAATGGAACTTTGCTGTGGTGGGACAAAATCCCACAGCAAATACAATAAGATTAATGCCTAAATTAGGATATCAACTGCCTTGGAGAGTAAAGAAAACCTTTGCAGAAGAAGTGACATCTGAAATAAATTTTAAAAGATGAGAAAGCATTTGTCAGTGAGTGTGATACATTTTAGGCAAGAAAGTAGCCTAAGAAGCCTAAAATTAAAGGAAGAGCAACATATTTTCGGGAAATGGCAAGCATTCTGTAAGGTTGGAACAAGGGTTAAATGGGATATGTGTAAATATGTAGACTGAAAAGGACATAAGCCCAGATATCAAAGTTGTTGTTGTTTTTTTTAATTCCCTGTGTAGGTAATTAAACTTCAATATAAAAATAATAAAAAGTCTAATTTTCAAACAAAAGAGAAACATGATTGGCATTTATAAAAAAAAATTTGTAATAACAGGTTAGATGGTAAGCATGTAACCCAGTAAGGAAAAATCCTTGTTACTGACAAAATTTAGGAGTCCATTGCAGTAATCTATTAAGAGGGATTACTTGTTTAAATTAAGTCAGTGTCAGTAGGAGCAGATAGAAGGAGTCAGATTCAAGAAATAATTCTGAGATGAATCTATAGGACTTGTGGTCAACTAAGCTGAAAATGGGTAGGAGCTGAAGAAGTGTTAGATGGGTAGAGGGCAAATCAGTCAGGTCTAGCAAAGCTGACAGAGCAGGGAATGGTGCTATTAACCTGTCATCCAAGAAATTCACCTTCCACAAAAGGAAGAAAAGATTTCAGTGGGCAAGAGAATGAGCTTGTTTTGTTCTATGTTAAACCTGAAATGCCTACAAGACAATCAAGATGACCTATAAAAATGTCCAGGAAACAATTAAAAATACTAGAGTGAAGAATAAGGAAACACACCTACAGCCTGAGAAACATTTTTTAATAGTTTAATATTTTATTAAGTTTTTTATTTTTATTAAAAAAATTGTTAAAATATAATTTATTGTCAAGTTGGCTAACAGAGTGTATACGGTGTGTTCTTGGTTTTGGAGGTAGATGATTCCTGTGGTTCTTTGCTTACATGCAACACCCGTGCTCATCCCAACCAGTGCCCTCCTCAATGTCCATCACCCATTTTTCCCTCTCCCCTTCCCCATCAACCCTCAGTTTGTTCTCTGTATTGGTCTCAGTTTGTCTCTTATGGTTTGCCTCCCTCTCTGTATGAAATTATTTTTTTCCCCTTCCCTTCCCCCATGGTCGTCTGTCAACCTGAGAAATATTAGACAACAAATTTGAAGACAAACTTATACAACCACTAGATTGTCCCTGTTTCTGAAAAGATAACTTAAGTATTTATTTTTTGAGATAAAGCATATACTCCTAACAGATCCTGTGTCAAAATGCTAAGCTGTTGTAAGTGTAAATATCAAATGTTGAGTCACACCAATATGTTATCTTGAATTATTTTACTGATAGACTTTAGTTACTTAGAGAAAGCTTTAAAAACACAGGATCTAGGACACAGAGCATGACATATAAAGAAAGAAGTCAGAAACATGAGGCACTAGTAGACTATGAATGAGTATGGAAGCACACCAGAGAGGCTAGGTGTGGTCAAGGGAAAGGGAAAAGGGGCAGAAAAATAGGAAGTCAGGGAAAAGTGAAAATAGAAAGCAAAGAAGGGAAACAACTACTTATTTCCCAGTTGGACTGGTTCTCTAAACATATCATGTGTTGTTGTGTTTTGTTTTTGTTTTAATTATTGCTCCCTTTAAAAAAGCCTTAGAATGATAGCTTATGATTGATACACTTGAGTTTCAATTACACATTCAAAAATTGAAAACTAACCAGTTCAGTGCTCTAGATTATTCTTTCAGTTTTATGACAAAAATTTTAAAAGATGGACTTTTACAAAGGAAATGTTCTTTGGTAGCTTTAAATAATACAGAAGGATCTCCAAATATTGCCTATAATACACAATTCATTGCATTTTAGCTTCTTACAAATGCTTTAAAATCCCATCCATCCTAGCTATTTTTTCTTAATAACTTTTTCTATATATGCATTTTCTTCAACCCTTAAAGATTAGGGAAAGGTTTATATAGTAACTATTTGATTGCATCAGCCTGTGTTTCCTGAAACCCCAACAGATATTTTAATGCTCAAATTGTAAGGCAACACTTTATGTGACTGCATTAAGAACAACAAACAACAGGGGCGCCTGGATGGCACAGTCGGTTAAGCGTCCGACTTCAGCCAGGTCACGATCTCGCGGTCCGTGGGTTCGATCCCCGCGTCAGGCTCTGGGCTGATGGCTCAGAGCCTGGAGCCTGTTTCCGATTCTGTGTCTCCCTCTCTCTCTCTGCCCCTCCCCCGTTCATGCCCTGTCTCTCTCTGTCCCAGAAATAAATAAACGTTGAAAAAAATTTTTAAACAACAACAACAATTAACTACCCTCCAGGCCTTAAAAGGCTTTCTTCCATTGGCATGACTAAAAATATAATATTGATAAAAATAAGCATACATTTGACATTTATTTGAGGTTACTACATTGGGGGTGAAAGGAGGGAAATACTAAAGAAAAGTAATCTTGTAAAGGAGATATCAGATGAGTATTACATATTACATTTTTTTTTCATTTTGCCTCCTCATTGCTTTGTATGCAAATTACTTTCTGTTCCTACTTCTAAAATTTATTTATCAGTAGAGATTTATTAAAATCTGACTCCTGATTTATTGCATTAATATTTATAAAAATACGTGACAAAGTGTATAGATTTGTGTATATACATATGTTTGACCTGTATACATGTATGTATGTAAGTATGTATATGTATGTATATATGTGTGTGTATGTGTTCAGTTGTCCAACAGCAATAAAAGAAAATCAGATTTGTAATTTAAGACTAGAAACATAACTTACAATAACATCCAGTTTTTTACTGCTAAAGTATTACTTATAAACAATATATAAAACATAGTGTATTTTTTACTCTATTTTCCAATAATATTTTTTGGTGATAATGGTGGTTTTACTGCATTCTAAAGCACTGAAATTCCTTTCAAATTATTAACAGTATGTTATGATAATGCTTCCTTCTTTTAGAAAAGCTAAAATGTACACTTTTTTTCAGATTCTAAGATTTATATCAAGATGTGTGTTACAATTGGCATGATTAACAGCATTTTTTTCCTTAGTGACACATAAAATAATAGTGTATCTAACAATAATGCTGTCAAATTCAGTAGAATCCTGTATTAGTATATTTCAATTCTTTAAAAATAGAGAAAACAATGTGGTATAGCAACAGTTAACAGAGTATCCATCTTTTACTGTCAGTAAATACAAGTTTAGCTGTAATGGTTTTATCTAATTTTGTGTAAATCTTGCAAGAACTATTTAAGCAACCAACTTAAAAAGATTTTTCTAAGGCAGTGGTTGATACAAAATTGGATGAAAATGTAGGGGCAGGTTAGGTGAGTAACATGTCATCTAAAGTTATGACCCATGCCACCAGCAAAGCCATTCAGCTATTTTTGAATCTGTCCTAAGTGCCACACACCCACACATGTTTTTGTCTTTTTCTTTTTCTTTTAGTTCTCTCAAGACACCATGTGTGATTTACAGAGGCTTTTCTTTGCTCCTTTGAGTTTTCTCTGCTTACACTGCCAGTGATAAACATGGTAAGAGAACTATAGGACCATAAGTAGTTGGTCTAGTCTTTTTAGAAATAAGGGTCATCCAATCGTATCCATACACACATTCCATAGATCACTTACCTAAGCTTGTGAGTAATTTTCCTTCCTTTGTTCTTAGAGTTTTCCCAGTGTCTTACAATTTACTTTTTGGGAAAATAATTTTGATCTTTATTAGGAATTTGGAAATGTATATTGCATAATCTTGAGAACTGCTAAGGAAAGTAGGGAAGACTACCCAAGAGAATATTTTAGGAACCAAGAAATTTGTCTGCTGTGTTTTCATTCACTGATGAATGTCCAATCTGAAAAGAACAAAGGAGACATTATTCTGTGTCCTCCACATGTTTTAAGTGAGGGGCAGTAAAATTATGATTATTCAGATGGCTCTAAGGTAAAATTTGCAAATGGATTCAGTTAAAAAGAGCTTGAAATAAATAATCCCAAACTTATGGAATAACAAATAAAGGTTTTATTTCTTATTTTTGAAAACTGTATTCCACAAACAACTTTATAAAGATATCTTTATCTGAAAACACTGACATTTTTGCTTGTAAGTCACATTGTTGACATTCCATAGAAAAATAAAGGCACAGCAAATATATTACAGAGTGCTGTTAAGTAGAAAGCAATAAATGTGAAAGGATGGCAAGTCAAAGTTATATATTAAATAACTAATCTTTATAAAGTTAGAGTATACTTTTTAAGTAAATACATACCATGTATTATAGAAGTATTTAGTAATAACGTTGCACATTAAATATTAGAAACTTGTGTTGTCAGTACCCTTTTTTTTAAGTGAAAATTAGTTTCCTCTGGCTTCATCCTTGCCAGCTGAAAATGTGACATTGTTATATTCAGAGAGGAGTCCACACACATTCCATGCCAATAACAAAGTACAAGAAACTGAAAATAGCAGGGCAGCATTCTGTTACGTGATATTAAGAATAACACTTCTTCTGGATATACCTCTAAAATAAAAGATGATGGATATCAGAGCGGCATTCAGAAGATTCAACTCAAGTATAATTGGCAGAAAGGAGTCATGGGGTGAAGGAACCAAGGTTAAAGAATGTGAGGGGCAGGGTTCTGGTAAGCATTGGGCCAGCCCCAGCATTTCTAACAAAGTGCCCAAGGATCAACTTATCTTGAATATTTTCCAAAGGAACACACATGAATGGACCACACATATACATTTCAATGGAACACATACATTTGTAATGTCTGCATTTGCAGAATGACTTAATTTTGTAATACATTTTATATATAGACAAGCTCTTAAGAACACTCATAATCTATATTAATCAAAGCCTAGGTGGTTGCTTGAGTTCCGGTTAAGCTTAATCCTTAAGAAAGGGTTCCCTATACACTATGCTCTGCTTTTCCTCTCAGCATCTCCCCCTCAACAAAATGCTAAGAGTTCAGCTGACAACAGGGTAAACAGATTATTGTGTTATTGCTGGCTGATTGCCGGAGTTATTTTGGAGCTTCATAATTCATTTAAAGAGATTTTTGACATTTATGAAATGACTTCTATAATCAACTGACAGTGCAATATCCTATAATTGTTCAATTAAAAATGACTACTAGTGCAGTCATTTATTAGTAGAATCAGATAATTGTCTTGCCACTAAAGAGTACTTCTCACTTTGCACATCAAATGAAAATGTTTGAGTATAAATCTGTGACACAGCAGCCGAAGTCCTGGGGATTTTCAAGTGCATATGTAATTATTACAGACCTCTGAAGTAAATATGGTTTAATGTGATAATCTTAAATGGATTGTGTGTGAGCCTTACAAAATACTTTTCCATGTAAACCAGAGCATCTGTCAGAACGGATAGGAGTTCATTTCCTACCAATATGAAGTTCATGATATTCTTTCCAACACGTAGTTTAACATGTGTACTTAGAACACAGGACAGCATGCTTTTCCCTCAATCCTCATTTATCTTTTTCTCCCCCTGCAGATGAAACTGATTACCAAGGTAAGGAACCAGGAATGGTTGCATTGATAAATCAGTTTCATATGCAATACTGCCCTATTGGGGTCGGCATTCAGAAGCTCTGACTTCCAGATACAGACACAGATAGGAATGTGGATCCAGAAAAACAGAAACATTTACACACACACACACACACACACACACACACACACACACCAATTTCAAATGTGGAATTTCTCTGAAAATGCTTTGACTCACATTATCATGAACCATCTGTTAAGCTAAATCATAAATCAGTCTTTGATTAAATAATTAAAAAACGAAAAACCCTCACCACACTGAAAACAGAGAACACGCAGATCATTTAAAGAAATAACTACATGGAAGAAACAGCAGCAGCCCCCATACAGATAACGATTTCTTTATTTTTCTTTTAAATTAGCATTGTGCCTCTTTGGACAAACTGGCTAAAACTCAAAATTTACATTCAAATAATGATAATTAAGGAAATTCAGAAAGTGCTCAACAGATGGAAGATGTGACTTAATTTGAGGTTGCTACAAAATAGAATTTAGTAGTGTCATTTCAAAGTTGCAGCTTAATTTTAATTTTTAAGTAAATAATCAGATTTAGTTGTTTGTTGTTTTCCATTTTATTTGCAGGAAAATGTTTAAAAATTGCTGTCAGTTTCAATTGCTCTCTCGCGCTTTGTTTCTAACCCCTTCAGCAACCCAAAGAGCATTTGAATCACAGCTGCTTTGGGCTTTTTGTTTTTGTTTCTCTTCAAATTTTTTTTCAAGCCCGTTTTTCTTCTTCTTGTATGGATTTTAGAAAGAGTTTTGATAAAGACAGTCCTGGCAGCTGGATGATAAATATTATTTTCTTAACCTGCCTAGCTTTGTCAGCCACCTGCGACTGCAGCCTGCCACACGTTGGAAGCAGCTCATTAACTTTCCCACAGCTTCCCAGGAGTTTTCCTTGTTTTCTTTCACCTTGGGTGTGTGCTGCCTTCTCACTGAACGGTTAACTATCCGAGTAGGCCGAGTGGGCTTTGGCACCGCGAGCGGAGCACGCTTCAGGCAGCCTCCCTGCTAAGGCTCAAAATCTCTCTTAAACACATTAAGCAGCCCATTTTGGATTGATAGTGCAGTAATTATTCTGCTTCACCCTAAAAACCATCCTGGGGTAATTGGCGCAGAGGAAAATTACCCAGAGTCCTCCACCACCTGGTAGTTAAGGAACGAATCCAGGGAAAGATAAGTGAAGCAGGAAAAAAAATCGGCACTTATTTGATTTTAATCTCACCACTTTGCAAGCATTTAAATTGCCTTAATCAGGTGGTTGGCTTCCAGCCTAGCTGGTAATCTGTTATCAAATTTGAAACTAGATTTTTTAAAATGTCAGTGTAGGCTGAGAATTGAAGTCTATTAACAGTTATGAGCCTCCCTCCCAAACTTCCATAATCTATGTATTAATAATCCTTTTTACAAAGCTGTCAAATATTACTTTATTACAAGTCTGTATTAATAATACGGATGTAAAAGCAGGATTTAATTATTTATTTTTTATTTTTATTTTAAAGTTGAGGGAATATACAATGCTAACATCCTTAACACTGAAATCCATTTTTTTTAAAGCAATAGCTTGAGTCTATGGAATAACCTTGATAAATGTAATTGAATTTTTCTTTGATAAGATTAACTAGTGGTAATTGTGAATGGGGAGGTCTGACCCACTCCAAATGAGATGTATGACAAGCTGAAAATAATCAATTTTTCTTTTCTTTATTTGAGCCCAGATTTTTTTTTTTTAAATGGAAAGAGAAAATTGGGGCCTTGCAGGATGAAACATTTGTGTCTGAAATGTTTTTGTATACACTGCTTATCTCCCATCTCCTCAGTGTGTCTAATTGTGCTGAGCTTGGTCTAAAATGAGATCAACACATTGAAACCCCAGAAGGCTTAATTAAGGGAGGGACTTAATATGTACCAAAAAGGATTTTTTTTTGAATGTGGCATAAATTTTACCTGCAACATCCTTTACTAAAAGCATCCCAAAATTGTTAGGCCTATTAAATTGCCTTTTTCTTTTTTTAAGAGAGAGAGAGAAGGAAAAAAAGAAGAAAATAATTTTACTTTGAAAATCTTAATTACTGTGATAGCAGGGTTGGGTTGTGCCTTTTTACGATTCCTGTATGATTTGCATTTTGAGTTGAAGTTTTGTTCTTCACAGCACACAAGCCAGCAATCAGGAGCATATAGAAATGGCTTGATAGATTCCCCTTTTAAACATGCTTATAAAACATTTTGCCTATGTAGCTTTTTGTATTACACATTCCATGGGGTTTCTCACATACCAATCAAGAGAGCATATCCCTTTTAATTCATTTTCTCAGAAGTTTAAGGGCTTGGAAATGTATATTAATACAGAACAAATAAATGTTTCAAAAACTGCAGCACTATTGTAAGGAGTTTCATTTGAAAAGCAAAAAATGCTATCATTATTTTTATTCTTCTTTCATGGTTTTTATCTGACCATAGAATTTGAGTAGCTTAGACTACAATAGAGACTGCTCAACAGTTTGGATTCCTAGTTCCCGTCCCGGTTTCTGACTAGGTTCAGGAACCTAAAATCTAGTAGACAATGAAATTAATCACAATGCAAAAAAAAAAAAAAAATCACTTGACAAACACTGAATAAAGCCAAGTATACATCAACATGTACGTTTTATATACTTCTATATATACTTAAGCAAGACACAATCAGTATTGATATCTTTTTATTTGTATACATATGGATTTCCTATATTACCCCAAAATTACTCTTATTATTTCTTTATAGCATATTAAATTCAACTAAGCATAATAAACATTGCTTGCCTCTTTTCGAAGATGAGAGCTCATTAAAACTTGGTTGTTGTAAGATTTTGTATCTTCAAGTTGAGACATTTCACTTTGAAATGAAATAAGTTTTAACATGGTTTGGTTTGTTTTGTTTTGGTTTGGTTTTTGTTTTTTTGACAGCTCCAAGAAAGAATTTAGG